ATTTCCTTATGTAGTCATGTCTTAGGCTTATATGTCTAGACTTTCCATTAGATACATCATTGTATACTTTTGCTAATGTGGCTTGACTATCACACATGATATATATAGAAGATGTAATCTTAGGTCCTAAAGATATCTCATAGATAGATCCTTAAGCCACTCAGCTTCTTTCCCGATTTCTGATAATGCTACAAATTCAGATTCCATAGTCGAGTGCGTTATGCATGTTTGCTTCTTCGATTTTCAAGAAAGAGCACCACCTCCAAGAGTAAATACCCAATCAGAAGTGGATTTACTTTCACACGTGCTAGATATCCAACTAGCATCTGTAAATCCTTCCAATACAGTCGGAATTTTGTATATCGAAGACCAAAATTCTTGGTTTTCTTTAAGTACCCTAGAACTATGCCAATGATCATTGCTCGAATTGCTAGTAAACCTACTAAGTTTACTTATTACATAGGCTATGTCAAGTCTTGTGCATTGAATTGCATACATAAGACTACCAATAGCACTTGCATCCTCCAATTGAGAAATAGCCCTTCCATCATTCTTTATTGGTTTCGAACATGGATCAATTGGGGTACTAATGTGATTGACTAAGATGATAACCCTCACTAGTCTTAGAGACTTTGATACCCAAAATGATATCCACTTGTCCAAGATTCTTCATCTTGAACGTGGAATATTCCATGCAATTACTCATAATCAACATGTCATCAATATATAAGCAGATAAAAATTACATAATTATCACATAATTTAGAATACAAACATTTATCTACGCTATTATGTTTAAAACCAAAATATATTATAGCTAAGTCAAACTTTTCATGCTATTTCTTAGGTGCATGCTTCAAACAGTATAACGATTTCACTAACTTGCACGCCTTGTGTTCATTGTCAGGTAGAACAAACTCTTCGGGTTGTTCCATATAGACCTCCTCATTAAAATCCCCATTTAAGAATACCGTCTTGACATCCATTTGATGAACATGCAAGTCATATATAGAAGCTAGTGCAAATAATATTCTAATTGATATTATTCTAGCTACCGGTGCATAAGTATCAAAATAGTCTATTCCTTCCTTTTGTCGATAACCTTTAGCTACTAATCTAGCCTTGAAGGTGTCAAGAGAACCATCCACGTTATACTTTCTCCTAAACATTCATTTACATCCAATAGGTTTGGTCCCAGGTGGCAAATTGACAAGCTCCCAAGTGTTATTTGACATTATCGAATCCACTTCGTCCTTAATAGCATTTTTCCAAAAGATGCTATCATGTGAAGCCATAGCTTCCTTATAAGTGTTAGGGTCGATTTTCATATGTAGAATAAAGGGAATTGTTCTTACAACATTCATCTCATTTCCTTCTACCAAGTAAAATGAAATAAGTCGAGAATTAATTTCATCCGATCCCAAGAACTTCACAATCCGAGTTTTTTTGCTTCTTTGTGGTTCACTAGACTTATCAACATCTTTAGAAGATGTTTCATCTCGTGTTCCAC